CTCCTCCTCCTCCTCCTTTCTTTCTTTCTCTTTTTGGTGTGGACACGACAGTGGCCAACAATGCATTCGGTTCTCATTTAACTTATAGTCAGTAATACTTTTTACTTTCCTCGTCATCAACACGTCTCATTTACAACGTCATCATTGCATTTCATATACCCCCTGTCCCTAGGACAGACTATAGACCCCATGATCAAAACATCTCATTTACTTATTTGCCCTACTACATCCCATACACCTCGGGATCAAAACATCGCATTTACCCCTTGTCCATGCCCCTCATGATCAGTACATTTCATCCCATTTACCTCTTTATCTTAAGACATCTCATTTACCCCATTCCCCCCAATACGCCCAGTTTACCTTGTAATCAGTACATCTCATAATCTAAACTATTGCCCTATGATGTTTCATGTACCTCTTCGCCCCAGGAGTAGGACATCTCATTTACCCACTTTCCCTGTACATGCCATTTACCTCATGATCAATACATCTAATTTACCTGCGCTCCAATACGACCTATTTGCCTCCTGGCCCGCCAATGGCAGGCTGCCCTAGCTCTCTCCCCTCACCTCTAACCGCTGTCCCCCTCTGTTTGATTCTATGCCGGCCGTTTTGAGTTCCTCTTTTGTTTCTGTCGCCGCCACCGCGCGCTCTTATTTTCCCCTCCTATAACACAAACCGGGCTCCCACATCGTGTGCTGTTTGCTATTTCCGTCTGAAGACACACACACCACACCCACAAGCGGACACACACTTGCACACACTTGCACACACGCGCACGCGCATAGACTGTGTGCTCCCCCAATATTTATCCTGTTCACAGGTTGATAGAGCTGTGAGCGGTCCGCGGTTTTCCTTCTATTATGTCCCCCCGAAAACTGCGTGCCCGTTTAAGTCTTCTGTTATGCTCTTTATGGGGGGTTTGTTTACAATGACGTCATTTAACTTTTTTCCTCCCTCCAAATGTGTGCACTCTCGAAAACAGATTTGAGAAGGTCTGAGAAACCACGGGGTTTCTTGTTTTTTAAATCCCCGTGAAGGAATATCTAAAGAGATCAATAGGAGGTGAGGATCATATTGCAGAGATTTCTCGAGGAGTCAGAGTGATGATGTGCTTTTGATATGGACTTATAATATAATACATTACTTCGCCTTTTGTTGCAGTGAGGTTCAATTGTTGCTAAAAAGTTGTGAACATTGTTTACGGTACGACGGTACGGACAGCACTGAACTAGATCTAGTGTTTCGGTATTTCACACCGTTTTACGGTACAGACAGGCCCTTTTGACGTTTTCTGTTTTTGTCTAGAGTTGACCATAGTGTGTTGAAAACACCGTAAGAGACATACTTTCTTCGTTCCCACCGTCAAAGTGAACAGCGGGGGAAAGGAAAGGGGTAAGAACAGCCCTCCAAATCTGTGTTGTGATTGGCCCAGTGAACGTGGTGGCGTGTCTTGGATAAACGAAAAAAAAAGGCTGTCACCAGGACCTGTGATACATCTTCTTGTAGTCTGGCCAAGTGAGTGTGTATGTGCGTCTTTCTGTCACAAAGAAGACCACACATATTTCATCACCATACCCGTCTGTGCGCGCGCGCGTATGTGCGTCTGTCTGCCCCCGCGAGGCAGCAGAATGGACAGCATCAATTTCTACTTCAAGTCTGAGGGTAAGAAAGAGAGCGGCGTCCGCTACCTCCTCCAGAGCATCTACATGTTCCAGAGCAAGATCTGGTGAGTGTTTTCTCTAGCCAGCAGTTGTTGGTGTTGGGGCTCAGTAGATATGTTCGCTGATACCTTCTTTCTCTCTCTCTCTCTCTCTCTGTGGGTGGTTGGAGGGCGCTACTCTTTTTTGGGGGGTTTCTATTTAATTTATGGCATCGATCAAAGAACTTGTCCTTTTTACGCCCCCACCCCCCTCTAGTCACAATACTAGACTCTATCTTATCCTAGCGGTTAGGCTACCAAACTCGTGTGATCGCGAGGTTGCGGGTTCGGGGGTTCGAACCTCAGGCCCGACGTTGTGTCCTTGGGAAAGGCACTTTACACACATTTTTCTCTTTTTATCTTTATCCCAGTTTCAATGGGTACCCGACCATAAGCAGCGAAAAATTTTGTGCATGTAAAATGGCAGCTTGCACTGTATGCTTCCCAGGAAGTTGAGGTTGTTCTGAATGTTATTACTCTCAGGTCTGCTGCGGTAATAGGTTATAAAGCGCATAGAGCCTGCTGTTGAGAGAGAATTTGTGGTATACAATTGCTATCTATCTATTATTATTATTA